CTTTATATATATAAATATATATTATTTATATATACTTATCCAATGTAGTGATAAAAACTGAAAATGCAAAAATTATTCAAAGACTTTTAAAAACAAAGTGGGTGGCTGAAAAATACAATACAGGGTTTGGTTTGCTGTTACATACAATTTTTCATTAAGTGCTAAGTAGAACAGGAAACTAATTTTGCTGTCTACATCTCAGTACATCCCTGTTTGCTGAGATCAGTAATGATCCGGCTATGTAGTTACCTCCAACATAAACAGAGGATTCAGTCATCTGAAGTGCGAGGAACATTCCATTTCTGCTGGAGAGTCATCCTAGTATTCTGTTCTGAAGGCAGGCTTGCAAGCATCACGGAATTCCCTGACACACGGGGAAGGGTTATTGAAATTAACACCACCTAGTTCCTCAGCTTTTGACATCAAATTCGCACTTCCTTGTCAATGTTTTGACAGCAAGTCATCACAGCAGTCTGTTGATTGTGAAATACTGGGATTTCTAGGGCTGGATAAACTATTATCGCTGACATTCTCTGCTGAAAGTGGCACATTAACGGTGTGTCTTCGGTGCATTAATTTACTCCTGTGCGGAACTTCTATCATGTCATCATGTTTCACGAACTCACCGCTGCATCCCATGTCAATAATCTTAACTTCGCTCTGGTCCAGCGTTTCAACAGATTTTAACTTGGTTTTATCAAAGCTTTTAATAGCTAACTGAGGACAGAAAAATGGGACATTGAAAGCATTGTCTACCTTCTTCATCAGAAAGAAGTAAAATAAATACAGTGTTTCTTGAATAAAATTATCACATTAATTTCATCATATTCTTTATACTGAGAACACAGCCAAGGATTAAAAATATCATACTTTGTAGGACAGTAATTATATGTGGCCTACCTATGAGAAAACAAGAAGAGGCCAACTTGTCCCAAGCTACACATAACATCAATACCAGAACTGAAGAGATAAAGAAGGTATTCCAAAACTTATTTTCACTGCAGTATCCCAGCATCATCCTAACTCTTCTAAACACCTTTTGTGCTGCAAGTCTCAAGGTACTTGAAATTAACAGCCATTGCTTTGACCATTAAGAAACATGTAAGTAGTAATACAGACAGGCTCAACCAGGCACTGCTGAAAGCAAGGGCAAAACCTCCCAGCTTCCAGATCTTATCTGTTGGGGAAGAGACACCCACCCGCCTGTCCCCACCCTCATACAAGACTCTTTTGGTCATTCCAACTATTCCTATGTTCCATTTCTGTATCTGCTTGTGATTTTTGCTTTTCAGAGTGGGTGGTTTTCCTTCATTACTGGTCACTCTGCAAATGTTAAAATCACTAAAACAAAAAAGAATCCAAGCATGCTAATGACAGGTTTTCTAAGATAAGAACTAACGCAGAAATTAATCACAATACCCTTTTACTGAAATAACGGCAACCATCTCTAAAAAGTTTCAGGTGGAGATTATACATGTTTAAACCCACTAACAATTTAGAGCTGTGTGGCTTGGAAATTCACAAAGCCACAGCAGTGGCACATGGTTAAACTGCTATGTAGCATGGTGTCACAGATTAGTTTTTGACACCTGCTGTACTTACATGACATACTGCCTTCAGCTATCCACAATTATAAAATCTAAATCCCACAATTAAATAGTGGGATATTATAATTAATACTGGAAAGAATTAATAAAATACTACAGTATTATAGCATTAATTTGGCATTCTCAAGGCTCTTTGCAAATGTTCAATCTCATAAGGGCTCCATGAAATACAACAGTATTTCATTTTCTAGGCAGAGATGAGTGCCAGAGTCTGCACTGCCAAGGCTATGTCAGTCTAATAATGGGCAGCTACTGAACTAAGCTGTTAAAAAACTGCTTTCCTTCAGTTTTTCTCTTGGTTTACTATGCTGAAGTGACTCAGCAGAAGGTCCAATGAGAGCCAAAGCCAGTGTAAAGGAGGAAGAGGGAGTGTTTGCTCTGGGTGGAGGGCAGCATCCACCAGCCAGACTGGCGTAGGGTGCCATGGTGCCCCCGAACAGAGATGAAGTTACATGTATTTGTGTCACACCTGACAATGCAACATGCGGTTTGCTATCACATTTGCAAACAGTCTCCTCCTACAAGCAGACTTATAATGCAAACCCTAATTTTAATCTACTGAAAAATTTATCTCTTGTAAATAGCTTTTCTGCTTGGCTACAGCTCTTATAAGCTGTAAAGTTTTTCAGCCCTTGGCATGACCTAGATTTTGCTCGACATGACACAGAAAAGAAGACAGATGAATCCTGCAATAAGAGGCTTAAGAGATTTAAAAGTAAGAATAAGAAGTTTAAGAGGTGTTACAGAAGCACCACTAAAGTTTGAACAATGATGAAACATTCGTAATTTAGCAAACAGGTCAGAGCTTTTGGGATTCACTGACCACCACTAGTAAAGAAACTTTCCCCTTGTATGTATGGATATTAATAGCAGACAAAACAAACAGATTTGCTATATTATACAAATAATTCATGGAAGTATTTCCACTTACCTGATGCAATAACTGATAGTCAAAATTAGGGACACTTTTATCTCTTGTTATTGTTTTCCGTAAATGTTTTGCTCTAAAAAATATTTTAAAGAAATTAAATTTAACTACGTCTTTCCACGAAAGTCTCGATCACAGCAAAGCCACAGGGTGGCACTATCTAAACATCTGCCTTGGGTATTATCTGACAACTGCTCCAAATGACAGCCTACTAGTATTTCCTGTATTTTATCACAGAATATAGATTAACATTAAAAAAGATCATAGGCAAAACCCAACCACTGAGTGAAGCACTAAGATAATATTTTTAAAGCAGTCTGGCTCTGAAATTCTTAATTTATGGTACAACAAGTATTACTGCAAAAGCCATTTTAAATACGTTTGCAAGTACTCTTTCGCTACCCAGCTTTTCCCTCCTGCTGCACAGCACATCGCTGCTGTTCACCACCAATGAGTGTGCCAGTCCTAGAACATGTCTGGTGATACGAATGCGCATGCCTCTGAGGAGCAACATTACTGTCAAATCAGTCAGATGTGATGTGTAACGATGCTTGGCCCGCTTTTGGGCTTTATTAACAGCTGTATTTCTTGTTCGCTTATGGGAAACAATAAACATACTTCTGAGGAAGCTTCTATGCTTACTTGTTAAATCTGTTAATTGATTGGACCAGTTGAAGTTGTCTGCTTATGGGATCATCGGCTTTCTCACATGGCTTAGAATTCACTAGGGGTTTAAAAGAACAGGCAGCTAAAATTACAACTGAGTCACACTTAAGAATTAGAAAAGCACAGTTATGAATGAAAAGTGGTATCTGCTGACATGAGATTTAAAATCTTACAGTAAAAATATGCTAGTAATAACTTGAGTCAGAGTTGCTATTTATCTTTGGAAATTTTAAAGCATTTTACGTTGCAGGAGTAAGCATTCTTCATCAGATTAGCATGACTGGCCAAGCTTCTAAAGAGACAGTGTAATCTGGACTTCAAGGCCCTTAATTCTAATTTTTACAAACCTGAATTAATTTTAACACACAGATGCTGTACCACCTCTTTGTTAATACTTCTTCATGTTTTCTATTATTCTTTTAGAACTATTCTCATAATATTTGAAAGAACTGTATCAATCTTTGGCATCAGCATACTGTGATTAATTGCGATTTTGCATTAATGAAACATTCACAATCTTTCCTAGGGAAGCAGGCAAGAGTTACTTAGAAAAGCCTAACTAAAACAAGGATGCCGAAATGGGCACTCCTGCTCCTCATCTTCCCTAATTCCTGCTCATGCAGCCTCACTGTCTTCTCTCCACAGTTCTGGTGGCAGCAGGTCCTTAACTACAGGTCTAGCTCAGCACAAAACTTGTTACACCCCTTGCCCCAGGTTAGTTAACTGTACCAGCTTGGAAACTCATCTGAAAAACATCTGAGCCAGCATAACGAAAGTAGTGGATAAGCAAGACCAGAAGCTGAGGGTGAGAGGGAAGAGGTGAGTAGCACCATCTCCTTTAAGCGGCAATAAGCCTTTACATCAGCTCAGCTCTATTGTCAGACCGTACCATGCGTCTCTACGTATTTGCTTAGACTGTACTATATGCTGCCATTTACTGAAAGCCATTCTTTTGCAAACCTTGCTTAACGGTTTAGACAGTTACCTTTGTAGCTCTTATTTGTCCCATAACGCGAGAGACAGTAACTAATGGAAGGGTCACTCCCTAACCTGTTTTAGGACAATGTAAATGACAACTAGAGGTGATCTGTTTTACTTTGCACTGAAATGGACAATTATTACATGGCTAATTATATAATCTCAAGCACAGCATGTTTTTTAACTTTAAATGGTTTTGTATGTAAAATTCCCCCTCACCCACTGAAAAAGTGGAAACTGAGTTTGCAGCGATGTCATGAATATAATACAAAGTCTGCTGCATTTAGTTATGGTATTTTAGGTGTTACCTATAAAAATATGCAACATAGTTGTCTGTTCTTTAATTATATTTAAATCAATTATATAAGATATTTGATGTAGTCGCAGATGAATTCCTAAATCCCTTTTTATTCACAGCAGTGGAAATATGACACGTACCTTTCTTTCTTATCTTGACAGTGGCATGCCCCTCGCGCTCCTTTTCTCTCTCTGCTGCTGCAGGGACATGGCTCGGTGCTGTTTCCAGCAATTTAATGATATTTGAATTCTTAGTTTTAAGTTTCCATTTTCACCGTTATTAAAGAAAAAGAAAAACATCAGTACAATTTAGGATTCTAGTGTATGCAGACTGTGTTAATCGCTGATAAAATGAATGTAATGCACACAACAATACCTCATTATAAATACAAACTTCCAGTGTTCCACAAGTTGCACTGTACTGGAGTGATGATTTTGTGGTCTTGACCTATTTTTTTTAAACTGTGTTAATTATGGTTAAGGTAATTTCTGTTTAAACTGTAGTACACATAGTAGAATTGATTCAGTACAGAATTTTGTGGTCATTAAGCTACATCTCAGAGGCTCTTTAAGCACATAAAGATAGGGACCATGCATCAAATCATTCAAAGAGTGAAATAATGATTTATAATTTAAAAGTACATGTTATGTTATTGCTATTAATAAAGGGGAAGGACAGAGTTATCAATGACAAGATAAAAGGTATCAGAAGGCATAAAGGGTAAAAGATGGTGGGTGGAACAAGGAAGCTTGCTAGCAGTGTAACCAGTTAGTGAAAGGTGTTTGTTTTCCTACATTCAACATTTCTTCTGCTCTCTCTGCCATTACTAGCATAGAATTTAATGTCATTTTCATTCACGTGTGCTTTCACTCTTTCTAGACTCATCATTTGTCTAGGATAACTTATTTTAGAAACACAACAGGTTTCATATACCTGTTTCATATCATATTGTACGTTGTACAATAAACAGGCATCTCAGTCTTTATATCACGCAGAACTGTTCAACACAGAAGTCTTGCCAAATACTGATGTGACAAATAGTTATATTTGGTTTTTTTCCTACATTATACATATGGAACTTTAGGAAAATCTAACCTCAGAAATGGGCTTTCGGCACTCACCGGCTCAGCACAGTCCGCAGGGGTACAGTTCCTTTCATTCCTTATGTGTGTCATTGCACCGTTCTGAAGCAGTAAGTCTACCAGAGCTTCATTCTTTCCTATCACGGCCTCGTGCAGGGCTGTATTTCCTTTGGCATTAGAAAGATTAACAGAAGCTCCATGCTGTACAGAAAGATAAAATTGAAGTGATAAAGACAGAGTAGTGTGAAATGGATATAGCACATTCCTATTCTGTTTTTCTCTCCTTTTATTTCCAATGTATGAATGAAAACAATGCAATAGAAGCCTTGTAGCTGTATCCAAACGCAGAAAGCATATGCTAGCAATCACCAGTTCAACAATAAGCCAACAGATCATATTATTTCCTCCTCTCTCATAACCACAATATCATGGATCAGCACATTGCATTTTTGCATGTATCTACTACATATCCCAAGTTTAAGAAATATTTCACAAAAAACACCAAAAACCCCCCTATGCAATAGAATAATAAGGAAGAAAACCTAACACCTGCCACAAAAAGAGTTCCATAAAAACAGCTAGCTGTACAACAGTCAGGTAATATTTACCTAATAAAAAACCATGAGGGGAAGGGATTGAAAGGAGTGAGATAACAAATACTCTTATTTTTCCCCAAGTAGTTTTGACAGGGAAATGCATAACTAAATACTGATCCCGAGTACTGGATAAGCACGGATATCATGTAAGAAACACTATTCTAAACATTCTGTTTCCATGATCTTACCTGTAATAACAAGGCAGTAGTTTCATACTGACCATTCAAGCACGCATAAATTAAAGGAGTATTTCCATATATATCCTTTTTATTGTGTTTAGCATTGTAATCCATCAGGCACTTTACCACCTATTGAAAGAAGCAACGACTCTTTAAGATACCAGCTAACCATAATTATGCAATGAAAGCCTGCCCTCCTTTATTTTTTTTAAACATTTTTTTTGAAATCTACAATGAAAAAAGAGATGGTAGAGGAAAGGATGGAGAAAACAAGTCTCATCTTTGCCAAACAGATGATAACCACAGGCATCTCTTCTGATCATACTAATTTTCATATTTTACCACACACTTTAAAAAAAAAAAGTAAGCAACTGAAAGAAAGGCCAGAAAACAAAACTCAAGGCACGTGAAAAACATACATAATCAATAACTTCACAAAAGATCAAAAATAAACCACCACAGCAACAGTACCCTTTTGCCCTTTCCTAACTCCTCAGAACACCTGGAAGGAGTTCTCTGTATTGGAAATATGCTACGAACTAACCTTCTTCATTAACTTACAAGTCTGAGTTGTAGTCTCATCTTCTCACTTCCCTAGTGCTTCATCTCCTCATCTTCACCAGAATTCTCTCACTTTTCTTGCAGTCCTCAGCTCCTTATTCTTGAAACCCTAGTTTTCCACTTTTCTGCATATTCCCATTTGCCTGTCTGCACCTGTTTTTTCATTATCGTCATTCTTCCCCCGTCATTTACTCTCGCTCCTGTATTAATATCCTCCCCTCATTAGCTCGCGCTTCTCCTTTACTGTTTATGCTTCCCTGACTTGAAGCCAGGGATAAGGTTATCTGCTACCCTCAGAGGTCCGCTTGGCTCATAATCCACCTAAAGGAGCTGAAGATACAGTGAGTATTTAATACTGTGGCTATTGGAGAGACCAAGTTCACTGCATCAACAGATGTACACAGAACTTCCCTGAACAGAAGGTATAGAGAGAAAACACACAGGAAGATTCCGCTGCACTAGGTATTTTTAAAGTGTTTGATGTACGACAGTACCTACTCACAGCACCTTCATTAAACGATTATTTCAGGTCGTTTAGAAAGAAAAGGTGCCTAGTAAAACTGTTTCAATTTAAAGATCCCCTTTCCATCTGGAGATTTTAGACACTGAAAGAAAAAACAGAATCGCCGAACTAATTTTCACTGTTACTGGTTGATGATTTGTTGATAATTTCACAAAACAGCATTTTGTTGGTGGTTCAGTGTTAAACAGCTTGCATTTATGAAGAGGCTGTTACCTGGAAGTGACCTTTCTGGCAGGCTAGATGAAGAGGAACTGCATGTTTCGCGTCCTTGGCACTGACACTAGCTCCATGTTTCAACAAGAGAGAGACAAGTTCAGAGTGTCCGTGCAGCGCAGCCATATGCAATGGTGTAAAACCATCTTGGTTTGAAACATTTACTCCAAGTCCATTAGAAGAGATGCTTGCAAATTTCTGTTGAGGAAAATACACAACAAGACTACATAATTAATCATGCTACTTTCTGTTGACCAAAAAGACGCCAAATACCTGCTAAGTGTACACAAAACAGGTAGATGGACATTGTAAGAACTTCTCCTTCAGAGGCTAGTTTGGGACCTTCAGGAAAAGAGTCAGTAAACCAGAGCAGCACGGTAGCATCTTTCAACACAACAATGAGTTTTATTTTTCTCTCTTTTCTTCCACCATGATAGCTTCATACAGAGACATTCCAGGCAAAGTATTCATGATATTAAAGAGAGGCTAAAGCTGCACAAGTTGAGATGGAAGTAATGTGTGCCCACCTAATGCAGTGGGTAAGATTAGTTAACAAGTTCCTTCTACTTTTCATTCAGTAGGCAAGTAAATTCCACAGCAAATGCCATTCCTTGCCCTGTTATCAATAAAATGAACTTTATGCTCTCGGGCTCTGGCATCTTCAGCACGTGACCTCTGTATTCAGGGTACATGGACACACGTTGCCTGAGAATAAAGCACAGTGTGAATGTGAAGCATTTAAGGACTACTAGCATACTCTTAGCCTGCACAAAATAAAAATAAGGTAGCAGTGAGGGATTTAGGGTGCTGAGGGAGATGGC